CGGTCAGTCGGTCAGTCGGTCGGTCACTTATCAGTCAACACTTACTTGGACAAGATTTCAGCGTTTTCACTACAGATTTTTTCTGTCGTTACTACAAAGTCCTCGACAAATATTGCTTCTTCCTCCGGTAAATCACATAAAGGAGTGCTGCCTATCTCAGCCAATCCAGCTTCTATTCGACAATCAAGAATATCTCGAATCTACGGATTAARAAACGATGAACATCAATCAACATCTCCACCGGTGCTTTTACAAACAATAACTCGACTTAGCTAAATCACACACCTCTTTTGATAGTCGTTCTAGACCTTGCACAGATTTTTGTATGTCATCGATGTCTGAAAAAAATATTGAGTAAATATAAATAATTAATTAACTAGAACAAAATGTGCGACCAGATAATTTGCATCATGCACTACACGTAAGTGATGCGCAGGGATCGGTTCGAGTACAAGTCCAAATGCACGTGGTAAYAAATGCGCGCACGAAGATAACTGCGCAATAAAGTGAACGCGCTTAAAAGCAAGCAATACTTAATGGACATTAAAATTACAGACACGCAATAAAATTCAAATTATTAATATTTCAGAAGCGCGCGCGCAAACGCAAACAACCAAACAAACAAAAAAAAAGATATAAATAAATAAAAAGCAGAACGGCGTATTTCAGAGGCGTCCAAAGTAAAAAGCTTTTTCTATCGTATTTTCAATGCGCAACCCAAAGCGCACATGCAAACCAAACCCAAATCTACCCGAATAAATACGGCTTTGATTTCACACAGGTAACCCAAGGTATTACTTACATCCGGAAATGTTCATTGAGGTCCAGTTAAGCATGGTCAAGCCTGGTTTTATAGTCTCATCTACTCGATCTGTGAATGGTTTCATCAGAGGTAAGACTACTTCAGGRATACCAGACACTACTTGGGAATAATACTTTAAGACCTCTACCAGTCTGTTACTACAGGACTTGATCTGGTCTTCTTTAAGGCGAAGGACTTGAGCAGCATTTGGGACCTGGAATTCGAACGTTTCTTATTGAGTACAATGTTATCAGCCAATATGCCAAGGAACGACAGCATAACGATAGGGTTACGAACGCTAAGCGAAACAGTCCGATCCTGATACGATGAGTTTCGAACACAACACGATAATGTCAAAACACTGACCACTTTTATACACGAAATACTTGTTACACTGTAGAGTTAAATACTTGCCTCAAGGTTTAGTCTGGCCATACACTTTGCTTCTTGTAATAGTTCTAAAATTTGRGGATCAAAGTTGACAAACAAGGCCTGAAAAGATGAGTAGAAACGATTAGAAAAAAAAACGCGCACATCTTAACTGCCCTTCACATYAAATTATTAAAGTTATAGGTATTTTATTAATCTATAGAACTGTGATGTACCTTTGTTTCAGGGTGTTTGACAAGCAGAGAAGCAAGTAGACCACTCTTTGCTGCTTCTACAGCTCGATACCAACCGCGGTGATACAGAACCTACATCGCAAAACAACATGTTTATAAAAAATGAAAGATGAATATGAAAGAGGGGGGAAAAAAGGGGAAAATTGACCTCGAATTCCACCAGAACTGCCGCCATCTTGTTGTAGCTTCTGATCAACCTCTTGGCGTCTTCACTCTGCAATAAAACCATCAAAACTGCTGAGTAATCTTCTTGTTTTGTTGCTTTGCGCATTTAGAGAAACATAGTTACTTTGGAATTTCCAACTCACTTTCAAAACTTCAGGATATTTTTTGAACAGAACCATGGGTTCGTGGATTCGACGGAACAACTGTCGAGCCCATGTGATCTTCCCTGCCACCTACAATAATAAATACACAAGTAAACAAACTGTATTTGCGAGAAAAAAGTCACTTATTAAAATCCATGATGATGCTAAAAACCATATGAGTGCAGGGAAACCTKTTGAGCGCAAGAACGCCACGTGAGYGTGGATACCATTTSAGTGCAACAAAGTAATTTCAAGGCATTCAACAAATACGTACCGGAGGGAGGTTTCTAAGAATTGGAGGGTCGTTTTTCTGTTTCTGGTACATTTTTCTACAAGTTTCCAAATCTCTGCAAAATAAAATAAAATAAAATTTAATTTTTAAAAAATTTGCAAATAAAAACCATGAAAATCATCGAACATATTTCCAGAGGTTTGGAGCAAAGTCTTGAAAGTAAAACGATTTTTACGTACTTCCCATACTGCATGAGAACTTTGTAATACTTGTCGTGAAGGTAAAGCTGAACACCTGAAATGCTCTCGAACTTACTGAGCAGCTCCAGGGATCGAATTGTCTGCAGGCCACAGAAAATAAGAATAATTAATTGTAATAAAGTTACTTCAAGTAATAAGTATACGTCATTTTCATTTTCCATCCCCCACTCCCATCCCACTCCCTTTTTTACCTTTTCATCCTATCCCCTAGATAAATGGTAACACTTTGTTTTTTTATTCCGCTGTCTTTTCTCGCTCCCTCTCCCGACCCCTCTCCCTCCAAAAACAATTTCTACCCTCCCCACCCCCACCCCCAAAGTAAATGCCATCTCCCATTCATTCACTCTCATTACCTCTCCCATGTGAATAACACTTCCTTTCCTCCCCCAAAGTAAATGCAATTTCTCTATCCCTCTCCACACCCCTCCCCCTGTAATAACGTCTCCTTCCCTCTCCCCTCCCCCTCCCCCCTAAGTGTAAGATAGGATGGTCTTGTCTGTGACATACATACCGAGAGAGGTTTTTCAAACCAGGAATCCACAAATAATTGAAGCTGCTGCTTTAAACCTTCGATGTTTTCTTTGAATTCTTCGTAGTCACCATCAAACTAGAAATCACGAACAAAAGCAGCGATAATCAATCAACACATGATTCTTTCTATTTAGCCGAGGGTGGGCTTCCTGTGCCGGTGAGACAGGTAACCCAATGCTACGAATAARAGCTAGACGTACCTCTCCTTTGCGGTGATCCAGTAAGTCATACGACTTCTTTTTCACATTCGCGACAATCGTTGCATATCGAACGACAATCGTCTCGACACCCTGACGAAATGAAATATAATAATATATACGTTAATATATACCATGGTATATACAAGATATACCATGAGTAAGCACAGAGATTAGAGCAGAGCCAGGAATCATTAGACAAGTGGTCTTTACCTCGAGTTTAAAGTTCGTCAATCCTGACAGATTCTCCATCGTGTTCAACATGTCGTCAATCTTCTCGAGTCTTTTRCAAAAAGCATCAAACTTCCCGAAAATGTAATTCTCACTGGAAAACGAAAAGCGCAAACGCTATTAATTCCTTTCCAGGCTGCTAAGGGAATGCGCATTTACCCTTGGACGGTATGGCCTGGTATAAATGAGGAGAGGTTAAGAACTAATGCGGACAATATTTATTGAAGGAATATACCTGAATTCGAATTGTCTTTCTTTTGGATTTTCTCTTAGTTTTAGYTTAGTGCGATGGAAGCATTTCTGGTATTCTTTATTCAAGGCGATACATTCATTTAATCGTGCAGATAACACCTCCCTGGAAAATAAAAGTATGTTTGATAAGCACCAAGAATCAAGTCTTACGACTGATGAAACGATAAGACGCGACTAGAACACGACCAGAGCACGACCAACACAACACAGTAAAAATATTTATGCACAAAAAATCTAACAAAGATCAAAACACGTATTTAGGTCGATACGATCTCMGCGCTCAATTAGTTAAAGTGCGCAGCACAAATGCGCACTACTGATCGRTACACGATAGTAATACGACTTTTAAACGACTAACGCACGACCAACACACGAAACCACTACGAGCCAATAGCGAAGTCATTCGCGCAACAAAGAACAGGGTGTCAATATTTTTTCTAACCTTTTGTGGTCCCATATCTTAGATACTCCTCTGTTGATGTAAGCTTTACATGTTGTAATCATCTGATTGGTCACTTTAACRAATAATGACGTCATTCGTTCGGATGTGTTGTAGTACTGAGAGATGCTATGAATCATTCGTATTGCGTTCACCAAACTCGGCACGTATTCAATCATTTCAGTCTGAAACAAACAAGAATGAAAAAAATAACTAAACCGCGACACAAAAAATTTGTGATTTTGAACGAGTTTGTAAAAGAAATTGTCTATCCTGGCCAGACGTCGCCACCGCAAGTACAGCAGTGGCGCAGCTCAACAGGGTCGAACTGAAAGCATGTGAAGACGCATCTGACAGCCGCTATACAGTCCATGTATGACCACGGAGCGTTCCTAACATGTTTGAATAATTAGTTGGGTTGGTTTGAATGGAGGGAGGAAAAACTGTAAAGCGGGAAAAACCCTTGGAGCCAGAAACATCACCAACTTAGATCACGCGGCGAATGGGACAGTGAACACAGGCCCGCAGAGGTGAGAGGAGAGCGTTTTAACGAACATGCCATCCAAACTCCTCAAATCTTTAAATTAGACATTTAGGAGAGAAGACTCGACCCACAGGGGAGGGAATGATAAAAAAGGAAGAAAAAGATGTGTTCTGATTCTTACCGGGGTGCATTTTATAAGTGGACCAAAAAACTTGTCTAAAGTATACAAGTACTTGACGTTATCTTTTGCCTCGTTAGCCGAGTCTGTAATGCGACTATCCTACAGAATAAAGTAACAACATGAAGTTAGTGATGTGTGGGATAATGAATGGATGGTTGGATGGATGGATGAACAATATATACCATTTCTTTCCAGTGTTTTAAACTGCGTGATTTAGCTGTGTGTAGAACACCGACTGCTGCCTTGCAGTGAGGACTCTTGATTTGTTGCTGCTGTTGTTGTTGCTTTTGCTGTAGTCAATGCTATTGTTGCTGTTGCTGCTGCTGTAGTTATTGTTGCTGCTGTTGTTGCTGCTGCTGTAGTGTTGTTGGCTGCTGTTACAGCTGTTGTTGTTGTTGCTGCTGCTGTTGTTGTTGTTGCTGCTATTGTTACTGCTGCTGCTGTTGTGTTTGCCACCGATATTGCAGTTTTTCTTCCTCATGCATGGATTCACTTACACATTAAACTTGGCCATTCTTTTCTTCCAGTGTTCCAGCTCAGCCATTGGCCCGATGTCATCAGCCTCTTTCCTCATCTTTAARACAAAAGAAGGCAATAATAAGAAAAACCCTTTACTTATCCAATCACAAAAAGCTACAAGAACGACCTATTGCAATTCTTGGAAACATCAGGAAGGTAGTGAGGAAGGAAGAAAGGAAGGAAGGAAATGAGGAAGGGAGGTTGTTAGTGAGGATCGAAGAAAGGAAGGAAGGGAGGGAGGGAGGGAGGGAGGGAGGAAGGAAAAAAAGGTCGAATGAATTGAATGCAATGGGATAGAATGGGATGGGATGAGATGAATGCATACCTGTTCACTCTCAGCCAGTACTTGTTCTATTTCTTTTGACCAAAATGCTATTAAACCTTCAAGTTTGTCTACAATATCTGGATTACTTGCTAAAAATGATAAAAATAAAGGGCTATTAATATTAGAGCAAACAACAATAGACTTTAGACTAGTTTGGGTGCGTAATGTTTTCCCATTTCTGACCACATGTCATTCTCTTGAGAATAAGATTCTTTGTTTGAGCTCTAACAATATTCATGTGTTTTAGCATGTTCGAGGCTAGCCCACACATTCTTAGGAGTAGTGAATCATTTGCAGTATTCCTACCTGCTGCAACATAATCAGCAGGTGTCTTGAGACTGTCTAACAATCCTGTCAGACCATTGTCACCAAGCTCAACCCTATGGCAAACAAATCAATAATATAAAAATTATAATA